CCTCAGTCCAGAATACCCAGGTTTGGGGGCAGCCTTGTACCTCATAACTGGAGGCTTCTGTTCTGAACCATCCTTGTGGAGTTTCTCCTGGGCTTCGAACAGCTTCCTCAGCTTCTTGGCCTGCCCCTTGCTCAGCTTGCCCTCGGTGTCATGCGTAGGTAGGCCATTTTCATCAAACTTGGAATACTTGTCACTTTCTGACAAGAACATTTCACTGGGTGGAATCTTCATGTTGGCCAACTTTGCTGCCTCTTGCTCTTGTTTTCTCCTGGTAGCTTCTTCCTTCTTCCTCCTCTTCTTCTACCCTTTTCTTCTCGTCCCTCTCTTTCAGTAGGGTATCCACTAGCTTCACCACCGTTGGCAGTCCTTCATGGTCTTCAAACCGCACCCCGAGATCGGGCAGGATGTCATCCCGGAGGGCATCACTGAGCTGCAGGACCTCAGGGACATTTTTCTCCTGGGTAATCTTCTGTACACCTTCCCTGAATTCTGACAGTACCTGCAGGTAGGACCTGACTGTGGACTCGAGATTTAGGCTGGTCCCAGGCCCTCCAATAGGGAACCCCAGGGAACTTTCCTCTTCGATGGTGCCAAAGATCTTTAGCATGCAGGTGAGGTACAGGGCAATGCTTTCTAGCAGAGCCCGGTTGGGCCTCCTCTGCACAGCCTTGCGGACTGCCTCTGCACAGCCTTGCGGACCGCAATATAGAAGTTGCACTGACTGACCAAGGTCCACATTTCCTCCATGACTGTGCAGGTATCAACATTATCACAGAGGGCTTTGTGTACTGCCATCTTCTTCTCATAAAAGTTCTTATTCAGCTCTGCTTCTTCATCTTCCCACTTCTCAAACTGCCCAGTGACGTCAATAGGAGCACGAAGGATGTCTTTAACATTTAGGAAAAAACTCGTTCATGAACTTCTCGTACTGTAGCGCCGACTCCATGGTGTTACTCAGGTAGTCCAGCGTGTACTTCCAGGAGTGCATGAGGAAGGCCAGCCACCACAGCTGCCATGCCAAATGCTTCTTCAAGGCATCTTTGATTGCGATGAAGTTTTTTAGTGATTCTGACATCTTACAGCCTGGGATGGTCAGGTGACCCGTATGCAGGAAGTACCCTTTACTCATAAAGAGACAATATGTAGATAAATTGTCCTTGTTTTAAAAAAAAAAAGTCCTTGGTTTGATTTTATTGTTAAGATTAAAAGTATCAAGTAAAGCACTGCTTTTTTTTTATCCTATTCTTAATATAAAATTTTCTATGAGGGGTTGTGTAATTGTTTAGCTTTAGGATTTCGTAGTCTTAAAACACTGCACCAAGGCTAGGTATAGTGGCGCACGCCTGTAATGCCAGCACTCGTGAGGCTCAGGCAGGAGACTCGCTGTGAGTTGAAGTTCAGCATGGGCTGCAAAGTGAGTTCAACATCAGACTGACCTGCACAGTGAGACCCTGTCTCAAAAAGACAAAAACAAAAACAAAAACAATGCACCACTGCTCCCCTGGCTGAGTCTAACTGATAACTGATAAAAGTATTTGTCTCAGTTCCTGGCACATGCTAGTAGCTCCATACATGGCAGCAATTACTATTATTACTGTTCATGGAACAGCTGTGATAATACTGAAGCTATGCAATTAAAAAAATGAGCCACTGAAATGTTCACTGCTCTACGCAAAACATCAACTGAAATTAAATCTCTGTAAGACAAACAAATTCACTGCTTACCACCAGGCCCTTTATTATACTATCCTAGCCACTGTTTGATTGCCTTTTATTCCTGTATTAGTTTCTACCAAAAGGGGTGTTAGGTATAAAATCTTAGGCTATACCTTTTTTCCTTGACGCTCTGGTCCAACTTTTGGTGGTAAAAATCAAAATTAAGAAGTCTGAAGCCAACCTGATTATAATTATGCTTTAAAGTAGCAAAGACCAGGTATGGTACACATCTGTAAACCCAGCACTTGGAAGGCTGAGGCAGGAGGATCGTGGTGAGTCTGTGCCAGCCTGAACTGCATAATGAGACCCTATTTAAAAAAAAAAAAAAGAAAGAAAGAAAGAAAAGAAAAATGCCAGCCTGATAGCTCAGCAAATTAAAGTGTCTGCTTAGGCAGACATAGGAACCAGGTTTTATCCCGCTAGGGCCAGGACCTGCTGGCCCCACCCCCCAAGGCGCTCTGAGACTGTGATTGAGACTGGATGTGGTGGTACATGCCTGTAATCCTTGCACTTGGGAGGCTGAAATCAGAAGGATCACTATGAGTCCAATCTATGTAGTGAGAACCTGTACTAAACACATTAAAAAAAAAAAAAGTAGCAAAGCATTTTGGTTCAACTCCCCAAAGGATTCTTTCATCTTTGACTTGTAGCAGCTTCACTAGGAACTCTTAGTGATGATTCCCCTTTCAAATTTTTACCTGAAACATGTATGTCCTCCCAATCTGAAAATTTAGATCTTTTCATTTTAGAGAAATCTAGAAAAGTATTTCTTGCAATATTATGTTGCTCTTCTTTGTGAACTTCAAGCATGTGACGTTAAATCTTTTACCTTTCATTTTCTCACTAGTCCTTTTCCATTTTGCTTTTTTTTTTTTTTCCTGATTTCCTGGCCTCTGTCCCATTTTCAGCAGTATCTATTCTTCCTTGTGCTTCCTAATTATGTCTTCAATCCTACTGTATATTTACTGTAGTACAAGGGATTGAATCCAGGGACTGAACCCAGGGACTGGATACAAGGCCCATTTTGTTTTTGTTTTTTGAAAACAAGTCTCACTAAGTTTCCAGGGTGGCCTCAAGTATGCAATTCTTTTTTTTTAGCCTTTCCATCTTTTATTACTGCAACAGCTTCATGTTGTATTGAGCGTTCTGACCCTGTGCTTGTGCCTTCAACACTTTCACCACAATTTTCTGCTCTTCAATAAGGAAAGCGTGCTTGATCCTATTGCGGACACACTTGGCACATATGGAACCCCCGTAATCCCTGCTGATGTGCTTCTTCGTTTTAGATAATTTCATAAGAACTTTAGGCCACACAACTCGAATCCCTTGAAGTCTGCCTGGGCACACACTACATGCAGATTTGGGGGCCTTCCCAACCTTCTTGGTATAGAGGTAAACAATTCTATTCCCTGGGTTCGGGACAGCCTAGTTTTGTTAGAGGCAGTGTTACAGGAAAGCCTATGACAGTAGGTTAGGCGCTGGACCATTACGAAAGCCTCCAGACACCGCACCCGGAAGAGGCAAGCATGCAATTCTTATGTCTCAGGTTCCTGAGTAGGCAGAATTACAGGTGTGGGCTACTCTTTTTTATTCCATTTCTTTCTGAATTTCACATATTATATCTCATCTTCTGATATCATGCTACGTGCTTTACTGATTTTATAAAAAGGTACTTCATGTTTTATATTCTTCTTTTATATTCTTTTTAAGAAATTCTTTTTCATCCATGGAAAAATAATTTCCACATGCTATATGGCAACAACTTTATCTCTAAAAGGTTTTTTTTTTTTTTGCCAGGCATGGTGGCACACACTTGTAGTCCCAGCATGCAGGAAGGCTGAGGCTGGAGGATCATTTTGAGTTTAAGACTATCCTGTGCTACAAAGTGACCTCAAGGTCAGCCTTGAACTGCATAGTGAGATCCTGTCTCAAAAACACAAAAATATATATATTCTTTATGTGCCCCCTCATTTATTCCTTTATTTTTATAGCTTTTTTTTTTTTTTGCGTAACCAGGGATTGAACTCAGATCCTTGCACTTGCCAGGGAAGCGCTTATTCCACTGAGCCATCTCCCCAGCCCTTTTATAGTATTTTAATAAAGGTTCCATATAGATTCTGTACACTGTTCCTTCTGGACAACCATCTTTGAATTTGCTGAGGTTTTTCTGTGAGAACTATTTGTAAGAAGTTTTTGTAAAAGGATTGGGCATACATTCCAAATGACAGAAATTTCCTTATGATACAGGTCTATGTGTGGGACTTTGAATCTTTACTTCTACCCAAACAGAATCAAAATGGTCCAGAGACTTTCCCAGTACAACCTATGCACTACCATTAGTAACGTGCTTCAGACTCCTCCTCACCTGGGGCACAGTGCTCTATTGATTCCGTCCAAGCCCCACACGCCCCCACAGGAGTTTCTCTGTACTTCCTCCTGCACAGGCACACTGTCCCGAGCTTCTTGCAGCCTGTGTTGTGGCTGACAGTCTGAGATACCTTCAAAGATGGAGCTCACATTTCTATGTTTTCCATCCTCTGTTACTGAGTTAGCTTCCAAGATAAAGGAAGAGTATCAAGAATACTCTGCTACATCCCCCCTGGAAGTCCTCCTTACTATATGCAGGTTCACTCCAGCCTTCTGACTTCTGAAGCACTGTAACTGTATCTTTTCCCTTAGAAATACTGTATACCAAATACCGTATGCTAATTAATAGCAGGCTAAGCCTAAAAATGGTAAGTGCCTTAGTCAAGGTCGGAGCTGGTAAGAACCCAGGTCTCTTGATTTCTGGTCCAGTGCTTTTTTTTTCCCCCCATAATTTTATTGAGAAACAAATAGCAATGAGACAGTTTCAAATCAAATTGGTAGGACAGTTTCAATAATTAACACATTGCATACATTCTTCCTAGTGGTTAATTGCTGTACAACATGCGGACATGATATCCTATTTACAAACACCATTAGAACAAATCCCTCTATTCATGGTCCAGTGCTCTTATTGCACTACACATCCATGCATATGTAGACCTCAGAACTCAATTCACTTTCCTTCTTGTGTACTAATTACCAGAAGCTGATCTCTAAGAATTATATTTGGAAAAGACTAAGAAACAGCAGAACTGATAAGGTCAGGGGTGAGGAAGAACGAGGACCAAGAAAACAAGCTTAGGGGCCAGGGAGGTGGCTCAGTAGAATAAGCACTTCCCTGGCAAGCGCAATGGTCTGAGTTCAATCCCTGGTCCCACAAAAAAAAAAGAAAAGAAAACAAGCTTAGTTCTTATTACCTGGCTTAGTGTCTGTCACTCCTTCCATGAGAACCAATCCTACTGGTCGCTGACAAGCGATGCTACAGAAGCGGAAGCGCAGCAAGAAGTCTCGGCCATACTTACGTCTCTCTGTAAACCAAGAAAAGCCAGTGTGAAAAAGAAAAAGCAACCACATGCTGAGATCTTCTGTCTGGCTGTGAAGACACAAGATTTCTCCAAAAGCTATCATTTAAACTTGTTCATTTCACTGGGTGGCCTATACAGAGAAGACAATGAGAAACACAGGAATTTACTAAGAATTAAGGAGATTACACTTTCTCTTGTCTTTGAGGAGCAAGTTTTTCTCTCAAAAGGGGCATGAAGACATGGCCAACAGACAGTGTACTATGTCTTACCTGATCTCTTGGTGCAACAGGAACTGATGTACTGACAACAATCATTGATGCCCAGGGAGCTGGGCCACAGTGGGGCCTGCAACTTCCGTTGGTAAAGCTGATGGGAGAAGTCTTCCTGTCCAGATACCTACAAGGAAAAGGCAGGCTGGGAATCTCGAAAACGAGATAGAAAACCATGCCCACGTTTTGGGACACATGGAAAAATACAAACACATATAATCACACACTATATGCACAGCATAAGCAAGCCACATATAAGTCTGAAGGGAAGGTTAAAAATAAGGAGCTACTTAAAAACATTTGTTTTTTACTTGACACAACTGAAATGTCCATGAGAGAGGAAAGAGGGGTGAGAGGCAGACGTGAGTCAAAGAGCACAGAGGTGTATAAGCGTGTGGTCCTAGGTTTCACCTCAGAAAAATATGCACCATTCTCCACCAAGAATACAAACTCTCGAGCTTCAGCTTGCAACAAGAAGAGGTTTACCCTGACCTCTCAATCTTCTGGACCAAGGTCTAATATCTTCAGCCTATTATTAAGAAACCACAGGCTCAAAGCAAATGAGAAATGTACCAAAGCACTTTACCGTATCCATGTCACCATCCTTGGTCAAAGTCATGAGCAGCCTGGAAATGGACAGAACGCAGTGGGGGAAACAGGTGACAACATCAGTCATCTGCATATCTCTAATGTAGTAGCAAGATTCCCTTTATTTCATTTTAACAATAACAAATACTTGAATCCCAGCTTATATGTGCGATACTCTATCAGTGATAAGCATAGAGTAGTGACATACTTCCTCTGCCCTTCAAGGGCACAAACTTTCAACATGTCATCTAAAATCAAACAGACCTAGAATTTAATGACTATTTAATAATTGTATACAGTTTGGTTTTGAAAAAAAAAAAAAAAACACCTTAATGATCAGAACCAATTACTGGTTCATTTGAACCAGGTACTAAAACACATTTTACATGTGTTTAAAATGTATCAAAACAAAACATGATGTAATTCTCAATACTTTCCCAAAGTACAGATGAAGTAAATAGGGTTCAAGTTAATAGCGGTGGCGCACACCTGCAATCCCAGTACTCTGGCAGGCTGAGGCATATTCTTTTTTCCTGTTTCCTGAGCAGCTTGATTGTAGTTCCTTTAGAGCAAGATGAAGCCCTACTCTAGGCAATTAGGACATTCCTGGTACTTGAGGAAACTCACTAAAACAGAAACTCAATAATAATTCAATTATTTTCTGCCCTTTCCCCACTGCGCTCTGCAAAAGTTAAGCTGGATCAGTAAGGATGCAACAGAAGAAAAAAGATTAAGTGACAGACAAATCGGCACAAGCTGATCAAGTTATGGACAGACTATCTATGCTATCAATATTCAGCAGTTAAAAGGAACTAGGGGCTGGGGAGATGGCTCAGCAGCATAAGCCTGGGAAGCACAAGGTCCTGAGCTCCATCTCCAGAACACCACCCACAAAAAAGGAATTCAGTCCATATGCAAATTGTTGAAGGTAAAAAACAAGCTGCAAAGTACTATATTGTGTTTATAAAATATAAATGATAGTTATATATCAGCTGTGAGGCCAAACCACCTGATTACAGTTCCTGGCTTCACCACTAACTGCTGGGATAATCTACAGCAAATTATTTGACTTCTCTATGCCTCAGTTTCTTCATTTATAAAATGGAAGCAATGACAGAATAGTGAAAATTAGTGAACTAGTACATGTGACATGCTTACAGCAGCACCTGGCACACAGTAAATGATTAGTAAGTGAAAACTGTAACTTAGTACCACAGGGACATAGATAGCACTGTAAATGCATAGAAAGGGGGAACTACCCATTTGGGCCCCCCTCTTGTCCCTCTCTTGGACAGAAGCTTTCTTTCCTGCAATAAATATATTCTGCTCATAAAAAAAAAAAAAGCATAGAAAATCTGCAAGAATGCCACCAAGCTTAGAATAGTCACTACAGCTAAGCACAGTGCTATGTGCCTGTAATCCTCCCCAAGCACTCAGGAGGCTGAGATAGAACAGTCACTACAGTAAGTCCCCAGATTATGAATAGCTGAGTGGCGAACTTTCACAGGTGTACCATATAAGATTCACAGGTGCAGTGCATAAGATCACTTTGTCAGATTACAAACATCCTCCCAAAATGGAACTCCATAAGTAGAAGACTTACTGTACTTAACTATAAAAGAGGATAGGAAATTTAGGTAATAAGAAGGGCATATTTGCCTTATGCCATGTTTGAGTTATTGCAAAAATCTGTATATGCTCCGAATGCCTTCAGGGCAGGTTTGACCGGCTTGAGTTGTGGGGATCGAACCACAGCAACCTGAGCCTGACTGCTTTGTTGAAGCAGCCACTTAAAGAACTGAGCAGGCCCCCAATGATATGTAAATTAAGTATATATTAATGATAAAAACTGGAAGGTTTTGAGTATGTCAGTGGTACTCCTGAATTCCTACCTTCTGGGCTTGAGCACAAGCTATACAACCTAAGAAAGTCCAGGAGGGAACCAGAACAGGCATAAATGAGTCCCTGCCACAAGTGGCACCCACCCGATGCCAATTCTTGACTCTCTCCCTACACTGTGTTTCCACCTCCCCATGCCCTCCCCCACCTCACCTTCCAGGCAGGCATCCCATTGTAGTGGAGTTCTCCATCTCTGATGAAGTTGTAGAGAGGTGAATTAGGGACAGAATTCAAGTCCCCACACAAAATGATGGGACAATGGCTGCCATCTGACAACCTGGCCACTTTGTCCACTTCAGCCAAGAGAATGGCCATCTGGGCCAGCTTGACATCACCCCGTCGTGGGTTGTACAAGACATGGGTATTTGCCACACACAGGGGGGCTACTGAAACTTGCCCCAGACCTTCTGGGACTAGTGGCTGCAGCAACAACACCAAGCCTACATTGTCCCGATTGAGAAGCTCCAAGCCAGGCCGGAAGTACTCCACAGGGCTGGCACAGAGCAGACGGAATCTGGTGGGTTTGTAGCAGACAGCACAGCCATCCATCTTACACCCAGTCCTCCTCTTGTAAAAACACGTAAAGCCTACAAGGAAAACCCCACCAAAGAAATAGATGAGTCCATGAAGTCTGAGGCCCTTCCAACCAGTGCCCAAGGGGTGTGCCTAAAGGCACTCTCCTGCTGCTCAGTAAGGGGAGCCCCTCTCCTTGTTACTTCCCAGGCCCTGCAGAGATTCCCAGATGAATGAAGGGCTGGGAGGAGGAGGGAGGGAAGGGTATGAAGCAGAAAGAGCAAAGAATCCCAAGTCAGGCAGGTTGGAACCCTGGCTCCATAACCTACTAGCTTTGTAGTTTTATGATTTTGAGCAAGTCACACAACTTCCCTTCTGGAACTCCATATCGTCTTTAAAATGAGGATAACAACACTGAGCCTCACATGTTACTTCAAAGATTAAATGGTTAATAGAATTAATTTAAAAACTACAGAACAAGGGGCCAGGGAGATGGCTCAGTAGGATAAGCGCTTGACTAGCAAACCCAAGGATCTGAGTACAATCCCCGGTTCCACCAAAAAAAACTACAAAACACTTTCTTTCTCGCACATGAAAAGAACTAGCTCACTGGTTTGACAGAATGAGGGTTTACTAAGATATGGGAAAGAAGTGTTCAGGAGAAAACAGGGAGGGCTGGCTGGAAGCAGAAAGGCTGGCCAATGCACCAAGAAGCTGCAGTACCCATCATTCGCAGAGCCGGCTCCAGCTGTTCCCAGTAATGGTCTTCCTGGACTTCCTGGAGACACAGGATCTGGGAAATTGACAAGGAAACCAATCACTCTGGAGGGCTGGAATCCCACTCCTTGGAATAGGCACCCAGGGTAGGTCGGAAGCTGTGAAGATCTATCTCAGCTAGATTCACACTGAAACTTCCTGCACAGCTGACTACCCAGACAGCCATGTCCACCAGGACTTAAGCTGAGGAGGCCAGACAACTGCACTAGATTTTCATGCTCCTTTAATTCACTGAGTTTCCCTCCCTGCATAAAGATGCTGCAAGGGCTTTATGTACATCTGCACATCTCAGCATCTGCCAAAACACCTCACTGACTCCAAGAAGATAAGCTCCAGCTTTAAGCAAGACTGCAATCAACTGAAGAATTATGGCATTGAGTCATTCTCTAAAGCCATCAGCAAGCAGCACAGATGCCCTTTCCCTCTTTCACTCACATCAGGGTCCCAGTGCTGGAATTCCTGCATGAGGTTTGCAAAGCGATAGTTCCAATTGAGGATGTCCGGATGGCAATGCAGATAGAGCTCTGAGCTCTGCTGCATTAAGTCTTGGGCCAGGATATTATAAGACATCAGAGTGAACTGGAACTGAGGGCCATCGCCTGCCTCCAGGCCCTGAGCATCTGGCTGGGTGGAGAAATCCTCCCATTCTCGCCACAAGATTTCTGAAAAATAATCATGGTAGAGATCCATACATGACAGGTCTAGATTACCCAGAAGCCCCCACCACCACCCTGACTCAGTAATATTATAAGTTTGACGTTTGTTTTTCCTATTATCTCTCTTACCCATCCCTCTCTGGTGATTTGAGCAGCCACTCTACAGACTTTCTTCAGAGTAGACAGCATGCTCCACCAAGCTACAGACCATCTTGGCCAGTCTACCACGGCATCCCCAGTACCCAGTGGCTACCACCTGATTCATGCTCAAAAAGTACTTAAGGGTGTCACAATCTCTTACTTTCGATACAGCTATGAATCTCTGAAGAATTACTCAGCTAGGTGTGTTTTGTAGTAACCTAAAGAAATTTCTAGAGTAATTTCAGCCTTGTTTATTTTCTGATCACTAAACTCAGTTATAACATGGGGCAGCTTATAGTGGCTTTCAAAACTCCTTAGGCCACTGAACTTTCTTCAAATTTTAATGAACTCCCAGTATGTAAACAAATAAAACTGAAGTAATTATCCAGAAAGTAGGGAGACCCTGAAACCTTTCCATGAATAATGCATGCTACTCCCAGAAAGCCCTTGAATCATCTCTGCAGATACAACAGTGTGAAGAATCAGAATTAGGATTGAGTCTGTTGTTCTACTACCTACCTGTGACTTGAGATACACCCCACCACTTCTCTGCACTGGGGCTATTTCATCTGTAAGTCCGTAAGGCTGGACAGGGTAATCTGTAAGACCTCTAGACCTGACCCTGACACTGTAAAGTCTACAGGAAAACAAACAAGTGGCCAAGCTCCCCCACCACACAATCTCTTGAAGACAGATGACTACTCTGGCCACCCAGCTAGTAGTCAGACTCACCATGGTATGGTATTTCCATGGGAGGAGGCTGCAATTGCTCCAAGCCTTCAAATGGCCAAATGGGCATCTCTTGCTGGGGCAGTGGCTCTGTTGCTATGCTCCAGGCCACCACTGCAGGATCCTCTTCCCACTGCTCTGTAGCCAGGGCACCCATTGGGAGGACAGCACAGTGTTCATACTGGGAGCCTGTCTGCACAGGCACAGCTGCCCACACAGGGGCCTCAACCTCTGACACCAGCGCCTCCCCTAGCACCTGAGGAAAAGGTTCCTCCAGGGTCTCTGCTGCCCGAAGGTCACTCAGCTGTCTGCTGGACCACTTGTCCTCTGAAGCAGCATCCTGTTCTCCAGGATTATCCATCAGGACTGCCAGGCTGCTCTGGGCTAGTGCCTTATCTGCAAGAGGATCCTCTGTCACAGCTGACAGCACCTGGCTCGACCCTTCTTCTCGCCACTGCTGCAGCAGGCCCTCACACTCCTCCTGGTCAGGGCCCCGAGGGGCCATGGCAAAGTCACCCTCTACCTGGGGGGTCGAGCTCTTCGCCAGAAGGGCATTTTTTCGACATGTGAAGAAAGCATCTAAGGGGAAGGCAAAAAAAAAAAAAAAACAGGTTATAAAAAGACAGTGTCATGCTATCTACATTTCTCTTCTAGCTAAATGTAAGCCTTTTTTGAGACAGTTGCTCTATGTAGCTCAGGCTGACCTTGAACTCATGATGGAGCCCAGGCTGACCTCAAGCTCACCATGATCTTCTGAGTGCTGCGATTACAGGCATGTACTACCATGCCAACAGGATTGACCCACTCTTGACCATACAATGGTGACAAATGAAGTCTGGAATAAATAATCTCCAGTTGGTTTTTTTTGTTTTTTTTTTTGGTTTTTTTTTTGTTGTTGTTGTTGTTTTTCTTTTTCCCCAAGGAGTTTTCTAGTGCTATAAAAACTCGCAAAAGACAGAACACAGGGGGCGGGGTTCGATCCCCAGCATGCTGTGCCGGCCCCACTCACAGGGTGCACTAAATTGGCAATGGAGATTGGGTGTGGTGGTGCTTGCCTGTAATCCCAGCACTTGGGAGGCTGAAAACAGGAGAATCAATACAAGTCCAATCTGTGTAGTAAGAACCTGCAGACCTTGTAGACCCTGTCCTAAATACAGAAAGAAAAAAAAACCTCCCAAGAGAAAAAGCCTAAAGTAGACAGACTCAAAAATCTACACATTGGGGCCGGGGAGATGGCTCAGTGGAATAAGCGCTTCTCTGGCAAGTGCAAGGGCCTGAGTTCAATCCTCGGTTCCGCAAAAAAATAAAAAATAAAAATAAATAAAAATCTACACACTTCCTTCTTAGCAAAGGTTCTTGAGCCTCTTCTCAAAGATATCCATTCTACTCATAAAATTTTCACAAATTTCATTATCTGTTTTCCATTTCCCAACACATCAGAGGTTGTAAAATAGAAGACACCAACAACTGACAGTAAAGAGACAGCTGCCATCTCTCAGTACAGCAGCTACAAATGACAGACAAGAAAGCAGGTGGGAAAATACCTAAAATTAGAACTTCAAAACCAAAACACAGTATTTCAGTGAAGGCAAATACCCGCCCCCATTCTAAATCACTTACTTATAGCAGAGTACAAATGACATGCATGATGATACCCCATGGATGAGAGATTAATACGGTTCAAATACTGAAGGATAGTTCAAATGCTTTGTCTGGCCAGTGTGAATATATGCCCCTCTAAACCAGTAGTTTTCAGCTGGGGGTTGGCACATTTAGTTATGTCTCAAAATTTTTGTAGATGTCACAACTGCGGCAGTGCTACTGGCATTTAGTAGTGACTGGACAAGGACACTGCTGAATACCCTAAAATGCACAGGGCAAACCTGCAAACTGTCTGACCCAAACTGTCAACAGAGCTTCGACCTAAACTCTGCTCTAAACCCAGGGTCTGAGTTGCTGGGCTTTAGCCTCAAAGACTGGCTGATTATCCACCCCTTCAAATCTCCCCTATTTGTACCAGGTGGCAGAGGTTCTTTGGCTTAAATGCATGAGGTCACCAACTTTCAAATATAGCTGATTTTGGAGATAGTGTTGGTTTGCTCCTCAGAAACATGTTTTTATTTTATTTTTTAATCTTATTTTGCTGGGCATGGTGGCACACACCTGTAAACCCAGCACTCAGGAAGCTGAAGCAAGAGCA